GTTCCAGGCAAGCGGAGCAAAGCTGCTCAGCAGTCCCCAGACCTTCCTGCCTGTGCCAGTCCCTCGGACGGAGCGTCATCTCTGTCATCTCCACTGGCCTGGGCTCCGGTCTCTCCAGGGAGGAGCCCGGCCAAGTTGGTGTTCTAAAGATTTAGAGTGCCAACTGAAAATCCTTACGGACATTACTGACATCAAGTGAAATCAGATGTTCTTCAAAATCAGGAGCTTTTTGTCGTTGCCTAATTCTTGACATCTGCGCATCTGGAGTCTCACCACCCGAGAACGAGGCTCTGCTTGACGGGTGCTGTTTCTGTGCCCAGGCAGGACCGCCCTCAGCCTCTGCGTGTCTGTTAGCAGCAGCAGCAGCTCTCAGGAGGGGTGGCCGAGGTCTCTGGGCGGGGTTGGGGGGCGCACGTCCCAGGTCTGCCATTCACTTAAACCCTGATGGCTCCGTGGAGGGCCCTCCTGGGTACATTTTGTCTGGTGCCAAGCAGGATACCTCCCTGCGTGCCAAGGCTGCACCTCCACTAACCGTCCAGTCTTTGTAATACCTGCAGAGAAAACAGACGATCACAATTATCAAACCCATTTCATAGATGGGGAAACTGAGGCACAGGAGGGCTACTTCCCTGGCTAGCGTCTTCCAGCTGGTGGCCGGCTGTCCGCCCTGAGTCTGCATTCTCATTCTCGGCGCTGAGTGGCTCATCCGTGATGCTCCCCTCTGGCCAGGGCGTGTCCTCGGTTGCAGTCCCGGCAGTCTGCTCTGGCACTGGGACAGTTTCTGTCCGGGGCCATACAGCGCTCTGTCCCCGTGTCTCGGCCTTGTCCCGGGCTCGGTCCACAGCGCGCTATCCCCGTGTCTCGCACTAGCAGGTTAGAAGCAAGTACGTGCTGCTTCTAGGGCCTGAGAGTTTGTAGATGGGGTTGAGTTCGACCTGGAATTCTTCCCACTAAGTTAAGTGGCCACTGTCTGCAGGGGCATTTGAGTGTGTGATTTGGGCTCCGAATCCGTTCGTCGTGTGCCAGCAGAGGAAGGAGGCAGGGCACTGGTCGCCTCCCTGGTGACCTGGTGCGACCTGGGCTCCCCGGGGCTCCGCGGAGCCTGCAGTACCAGCACACGCTGGGAGATGGCGCCCTTCCCCAACGCTTGGAACTGGCCTCCCGCACTCCCCATGTTCCTCAGCGAAGCCAATCAGGAAACCAACCCTCCCGCCAGGTCTCACCCCGCACTCAGGCCAGGACATTCCTGGCTGTCATCAAGTCCCCTCTCTGAAAGGGGATGGAGCAGAGTGAAGCCCCCAGGAAGGCTGGCCCCTCGCAATCCCCTTTCGGAAGGGGGTTTATTCTCACCCAGGCAGCAGCGATCCGGGGAATTCTTTGCTTCCCAGAGGGCTGGGACAGCTGGACGGGGACTGGAGGAGGTGGCTTTCACCCCCTGGAAGCTTCCTGTGAGGCTAAAGCCCTGTGCAGGGTGCGACCCAGTCAGCCCCGGGCGTCCGAGACTCGCACGTGTCCTGGCCGGACGCTGCCGAAGGCCGGGCACTTGAGCTAGAATGCCCGGCCCCTCTCCCCCAGCACCGGGGCTTGGGAGCACCACTCGCCCCCCAACCACAGACCCCAAGGCCCCCACCCAGGGCCATGCTCCTTGAGGGCAGGGCACCTTTAGCTCTCCGGCTGAGATGCCTGAGCCACAAACTTGCACCCAGCTCCTGCCCTGAGAGCTGGGCACTGCACCCCTCCTGCACACACGGACCCCTCCCACCCACACCCAGGAGCCCACAGTGGTGGGTGCCAGCCACTGCCACGAGACCCTTTCTTCCCAGAGGCATTAGAGCACCCACCCCTGCTCCCAGAGAGCCCTCCCCTTTACACTTCTTTCCCTCTCCCCCGGGGCTGGGGCAGGAGACCCCCTCCCAGCTGGGCTTCAGGGGGCAGCAGGGCTGGCCTGGGAAGCGTGGAGCCACCCCCAAGCAGGTCCCCAGCAGCCAGGGCTGACCGCCTGCTCTGGTGGGGGGTGATCCCAGAGGGATGCCGAGGCCTGACTCAGCCGGGAGGGTAGCCAGGGCGCACCGATCTGGACAGCCGAGCCACCGAGGCGCAGCAGGCGGATTTCAGGACCCCGGGGCGGTGGTCACCTTTCCTCCCCGAACACCGGTCTCAGCTCCTGGGCGGCTGGGGTTTGCAGGCCTCGCTGCCAGCAGCCAGGGGGCGGCGGGGAGCCGGAGCGGAGAGGAAAAATCCACCCATTTCCTGGGCAGATTGCGTCGGCCGCCGCCCGGCCGTGTCCCCGCCTCCCGGCCGCGGCCCCCGCGCGCAGCCCGCGCGGCGCTCAGAGCCGGAGCCCGAGCCGAGCCGGCGGCGGGGCGCGGGCGCAGGGCGCGGAAGGGAGGCGGCACCGCGGAC